GCAAATTTTATTTAAATATGCAGTTTATTATATTTATTAGCAAATATATAATTATGTATGCGTGCAGTTCTGTTATAGTAGTCGTTATTACTAAACCAGAATGTCATATTTTATATTAAAATAGTTTCCATACTTGAGATGAATTTTTATTTATAATGTATTGTTTAATGTATAAGTAATTATTTAAAAGATACTATTATTAATTATTACCTTACTTTTGCTAATCGTTGTATGATGTACTGCATGATGATTTTATTTTTAAAACGTTTTAAAATTTAGAACAAATTCATTGATATTGAGATGGTTTAAATCTACATGAAATGAGTACAAAAATTACTGAATTATCAAATTTAAGGTATTTTAAAAATATCTCATATCAATCTAATATAATGGCAATAAAAGCTACAAAATTTGTTATCAAACAAATATTATATTAATTACTCTAGCTTTTATAAAAGCATAAATTATGTGAAGGATGAAAATAAAATTTAAATCCACGTGAAAAAATATTTAACAATTACTCGAACAACGTTTGACAATTTCTTAGATGTAATACAATTTGGTTGTCTACCTACCATAATCTTTTGCATTTTATCATAATAGAAAGGTAAGACTTGAAAATAATTATAGTAAATTATATTATATTAAATTACTATATTAAATTTTTTAATTTAATTTTCGAATATAGTAAATTATGCTAATATAGTATATAACCTATATTGTTATAAATTACATTTATTTTAACATAATTATTTTTAATTATTTTAGTTAATTAAATTATTTTGAACTTAATTAACTAACTTACTTATCTTTTCATATATTCAGTTATATCTATCATTAAGTTGTTAGTATATTGAGTAATAACAGTATAAAAAATGTCATTTATCATTAACACTGACATGTATATTCTATTTTTCTACCATTCTAAAACTAATTTTGACAAAGTATTTATTTTATTAATACTATGTTGCTTTTACAATGTCAAAATTAAATCGAAGTATCAATCATAAAATGTGAACGTTATTTTATTTATAAATACATTAAAATAATCTATAATTGTAATTAGAGAAACTTTTTTTATCTTTAAATTAATAGTAATGAATATATGTTATAACGTATATGTTAATATCTTAATAACTTCTTGAAGAATATTTGTTATGATGTGCGAATGCTAAATTTATGGATTTTATCATGCGGTCAGTGCTAAAAACTTAATTTAATCAGATAAATCACATTATTTGATTAATGACGATAATATAATAAATATAATATAAAGTTGATATCTGAAATGTACATATTAGATTGATTTAATGATTCATCTCTAAAACTTTTTTATTTAAAATTGATTTGTTCGAATTATATAAACGTTTAGCATCAATTATAATTACAAATGGTATTAAAAATTGAAATTTAATTCATATTTGAAAAGTTATTAAATATTTTTTTAATCATCCGATTTCTGATTATGAAAAGTATTATTTATTTATGCTCATTGGCAGTACTCTTTTTTTTTTTTTTTATCAAAAATAAATACTTTTTTTTTCATCCATTTATTATTTAATACTTAACAATTTGGCAATAAGATTTTTGCATATTAGTCGATGAAACTGTCAAATTTTTTATATTTAATTATTCATAAATTATTTCTAATAATAAGGCTGGAGATGAAACTTTTATAGTTTAATAAATATATTCAATTTGAATCCTAATTATACAATAAAATATGACATAGATGTATTATTATAAAATAATATTTATAATAAAAGATTATTTATCAAAAATGACTTTAGATAAAAGTTACAATTGATGTAATGAATCGTTTAAAAGATAATGTGGAAATGAAGAAAATTTATCCCATAGGATAGTTTACAATACATTGAATTATAGAATTTTTTCTAAGAAACCAAAAGACCAACTATATTTTAATCGAATGAATTGATTTAATATTTTATAATATATAATCATATGGGATGTTGATCATTGTCAATATATCCAATGACAGAACAATCTGGCAATCGATTCGACTATTCTAATTGAATTAAGGTTTTAATCGAGTATAATACGAAATCATTGGTATTTGTCACACAATAATAATTATTGTATTTATGTATTATTGTATGTTAGTAATAATTATACAAATCATAACTCATAACGACTGTTCTCATTGTATATGAATATATATATATATATATATATATATATATATATATATCGTACCAACTAAAATTAGAATCTCTGTAATTAGGCCAATAAACCGATACATACGCACACTTAAAAGATAAATAAATTTTGAACAAACTGAAAAATTTGTTGAAGATTTTTCCAAGGTGTTAAAATGTAGGTAGAGTTTTAAATGTCATAATGACGCGTTACTTTATTACAGAGAATAAAACACTTGTGATAGGTAAAGCGGTATATTCTCTAGAAATACTACATACTCATATATTTATTCACTTACTTTACCTACATAAAGAGAGATAACAAGTTTAGGACTAATAAAGTATTAGATTTATTCGTACGACCCTCTAGAATTCAACTATTTTATACTTTGTATACACTTGTATGGGAATAATTTTTATATGTTTATAAATATTTCTATGTGTTATTTGAATTTATTAAACATTTTATATGCTGAACACGTATTCTATTCATCCAAGCGTTTACCAACTAAGGTCTTTATCATTAA